AAAGTCAGAGAGGTTAATAGATGCTAGGTCTGAGGTACTTAACTTAAATTTTTGGTTTTTTCTTAATACAAAGCCAAAAGCTGGGAGACTCAGAGGTTATTAGCTCCTTATAATAGGAAATTGCAGGATGTGGGTGATTAAAAGCATAAAATTTGCTGTCTGCCTGTCTTAACTTGGTACTGTTTGGCAAACTTGTGTCTTTGGGACAAAGACATTGGGGATTATTAAGTTCCTGTGCAGACCCTGAACTGAAGCAGGTAGTACTTCTGAATTTGGGGGTAGATGCTCTTTCTAGAAGCCTTTTTTAATGAACTTTGCCTACATTCACACAGCTTTAAATGTAACATGCAAATGTAAACCTAGCTAAAAAAGACTCAGTACATTTTCTGTCATGTTTGCAGTGCGGTTAARGGAAAGACACCTCAGGTGGGTGACAGAGTTTTGGTCGAAGCTACTTACAATCCTAATATGCCATTCAAATGGAACGCCCAGCGGATACAGACCCTTCCAAATCAGGTATGTGGGGTTACCCAGTGGCAGTGGCAGTGCCTGACTGTGGTTTAAGCTCRCTCTCAACTCACCTGTGTTTGCTGTCAGAACCAGACCCAAGCGCAGCCGCTGCTGAAGACGCCGCCRGCCGTCCTGCAGCCCATTGCTCAGCAGACAGCCTTTGGGGTCCAGGCACAGCCACAGCCACAGTCCCTGCTGCAGGCACAGATCTCAGCAGCTTCCATCACACCTCTGCTTCAGACACAGCCTCAGCCACTGCTGCAGCAGCCAACGCCAAAAGGTGCTCCTTCAGTGCTCGCCTTTTGGGGGGTCACTCTGGTGCTTAGTGCGTGGTTATTTTCTTGGTAATCAGAAGGTTGAGGTAATAGCTGAAATAATACGGAGGGGACTCAAGTGAGTTTTCAGATTGAATGTCTTCCTCGAGCCATGTGCAAGGCACATAGCCTGCAGTAGCTCAGAGAGCTACTAATCACCTTAGTTAGTGAAATCCCCATGGACTCCTGTTCACCTTARGTTTCTGTAATCTGAAATCAAATTCAGTGTAATTTTTGTTCTTTCACAGACAAATTGGGGGGTTGAAACTRTTAATAGCAGTGCAGTCCTTCAGCATCCTCTGCAGTGTTCCTCAAAATCAGGTTTCATACAGTATGTTTAAAGCTGTTATTTCTGTGCTTGTTCATTTCAGTTAGCCAGCTTGGTATTTGAGAGAAGAAACACTGCCAAACATCTAAAACAAATCTAAAACAAAGGTTGTCAAGTCTCTGGAACTTCGAGTGGCTGATGAATCAGTGATAGAATTGATAATATTAGGGCTGRTCTTACCACTGTAAAAGCAAGGGTAGAAGAACCTAAGTAGAATTGTTTTGCATAAATGCTTGTTACAATCTAATTGGTTCATTGGCGTTTCAGATTTCAATTTCCTTCAGTTCAATGAGTAGGTAGTATATCTGTTTTAGTTTTCAAAAGGTTTAGCTATTTACTAGAATGGCTTTTTTGTGCTTAGGTTATATTAGCTTCTGTCTTAAAATGATGCTTTTAAACCAATTTCACTTAACTAGAATCTCAGTTTGCATTAGTGAAGRAAAGCTTAGGTCTCTTAGGTTTCTTTGGGTGAGTGTTAGTGATAGATTTATTTGACAGTAGAGTTGGTTTAGCAATTGTACACAAGAGAAACAGCTCTAAAGCAGCAGTGTTTGCCAAGTGTAGATAGCTGCCCTCTGCTCCCCCAGTTCTGTATTGATCTTGTACATTTTGTTTCAGGTGGTTTGTTACAGCCCCCAGTCCGTCTGGTTTCACAGCCTCAACCAGCTCGAAGACTGGACCCACCATCCCGATTTTCTGGGAGGAATGACCGAGGTGGAGACCCCATGCCGAACCGAAAAGATGACAGGAGGTATGGAGACCAGACTATGATCCAAGCATTCCATAAAGGCCTGTCCTCACCAGAGATTAACTGYTTGCTCCAGAATGAGTCAGCAAGACCCACTAGTGGTGTTAGACAAATACTCTTTATTAATTCCTAAGGCTATCTGAAATTAAGGAGTTGTGTAATCAATACTACTGAAACTTCTCCCCTTTTTGTGAGTCGTCTCTGATAGCTCTGGCTTCTGTTGTGCTGGAAATCATTTTGTTTTACCAGCTTGCAAAAATATTTGTATTTTGTGTTTTTTAAGCCGTGAAAGAGAACGAGAGAGACGTAGGTCCCGGGAAAGATCTCCCCAGAGGAAACGCTCCCGAGAGAGATCCCCCAGACGGGAGAGGGAGAGGTCACCTCGGAGACCCCGGCGCGTTGTTCCTCGTTACACGGTTCAGTTTTCCAAGTTTTCATTGGACTGGTATGTTTATAGTGCCAGATGTTTACCTACAGTTCACTCTAATCATGGGCACAGCTTACCGGGAGCTGTGTCAGCCCATGTGTGTGTAAGTGGGTGTKGAAGAACAATCTTGACTTTAAAGARAGATCAAATATTTAATGGCTGAGAACCTTGTGTGATATACTTGGTTGAGGCTCTGTGTTATTTTGGAATGCTGTTGCAAAATAGCTTTATAACCSTGTTTAATAAATAATTCCTGACATGCAGACACCCGGACTGGATGAGTATTTAATAGTTGTTTTTAAACTTCATCCATGACACTCCAATATAGTGTTCTTGATGTTTTACATATACAGTGTATATGCAGTATCAAATACACAGTGGYTGTGTTGCCAGTTAATTTACCTCTTAATGGTTTCTTTTGTTAACAGTTCTTTTTTTGCTGTTTCTTTCAGCCGTAGCTGTGATATGATGGAGCTGAGGAGGCGTTACCAGAACTTGTATATCCCAAGYGATTTCTTTGATGCTCAGTTTACATGGGTGGATGCTTTTCCCATGTCTAGACCATTTCAGCTGGGAAACTACTGTAATTTCTATGTAATGCATAGAGAAGTYGATCCTATAGATAAGAACGCTGCTGTCCTTGATCCACCTGATGCTGATCATCTCTACAGTGCTAAGGTTTGTATGCTTTTCCATTGATATTGTTAGGCAAATTAATCTGTAAGCACTACAAAACGGAGACAGAGGAGTCCCGCAACTTATTCATGAATAAAGGGAGAGGTCATGGGCATTTCCCATGGGGTCTCTCCAATTCATAGAGGACGCAGCCTCTTTTATCCCAATTTCCCGGCTCCAGTTCCCTCTCTCTTTCCCCGTTGGCTGAGGTACTTGAGAGGTACAGGCTCCCCAAAACGCCTGATAAAACCCCCCCTTCTATCATACATTGCCCCCTTTTGATATACATCTCTGTGTCTCTGCTCTGGTAGTCCATTAACATAGGCTGGGATCAAAGGAATTCTTACGGAAATTCTTATCGTTTCCTTCTATCTCCCAGTATCAGCCTTATCTTACCCCCAGAGTCAGAGTTTGTTTGTGAAGACACTCCCTTTTCATTCCTTTCAATATGACTATGCTAAAGAATTTTTTTTTTATCAATAGGGTCCAAGAATGAGTATAACTGAACTGAAAATGTTCTCAGCCACTTCAGTGAAATACAGTGTTTTAAACTTTTCAGTAAAAASCTAGTATGTAGYGCTTAAAGAACCATGACTGAAAATCAGTTTGTTTTTCTGTTGCTAGAGCTGTCCTAAATCTTGTCTACTGAGGGCTCTTCCATTCTCTGCACCCAGCTGCAGTGATGTGGTTATAGGAAMTAAAGCCAGCCTCCTGCAAGATCTCTGAATGATCTCTTAGGCAATTGCAATTCATTTTGAATAGTTATTGGAGTCCTTTTTATTCCTTCAAGGATACTTTCTGTGCAGTTTGTGTTAATCTGTTTAGTGGTATTTTCTTTCCTTCTTTCCTATTCATCTCTGTATTTACTGTTTTGTTTAAAGTAGATTGAGATAATATGAATCAGCATACGCAGTGTCATGGCTGTAATAACGTATAAAACACCCCATTATCAGGATACTTTTTAAAAACCTGTTTCATTCGAAATCTCTCATCAAAACAGGTCTGAGATTTTTTAGGGTAATGTGTGTTAGATATGTTAGTCTGAAATTACTTGCCCTCTGTGCCAAAGCTTTAAAGCCTTGACTCAGCTATCAGACATTCTGGTTTTTCAGTCTGTTTGCAGAGCAAGAGYTGTCTTTTAGAAGGTTGAGCTTCAAAACATAGTAATTGAGAAGGATCCTGTTTTATCATACACCCTGTTTATGGTAAAGAGCAACCATGTTAGGTTTTTGTATGTGAGTTTGCAAGTTGTYGTTGTTCAGCAGTGTCAGTGAGACCTTCACAAGAGTACTCTGACTTGCACCACAGGTGATGTTGATGGCTAGTCCTAGCATGGAAGATCTCTACCACAAGTCATGTGCTYTGGCTGAAGATCCCCAAGAACTTCGTGATGGATTTCAGCATCCTGCTAGACTTGTAAAGGTAAATACGCTTCAATGCCAGACACTTAGGGCCATAAAGGTTGGTTATAGAGCTTCATAATGTTTGACAATAAGAGAGGAGCTTGTAGACATCTGAATGGTTTCATTTTTCCTCTGAAGAGACCTAGTTTATATGTCAATTCTTTTTCCAGTTTATTGGAGCTTCACATTTATTGCTTTGTTCAACTTAAGCTCAAACAATTGACTTTGTTAGCTGTTTTTTACAAGCACTTACTTCTTTYGTAAGGGCTCAGCTGTGAAGAGATTACACGTGAAGCAACAGTTAAGCAGCATTTTTTAAAGTGAAACATAACCACTAAACTGAACAAGCTACTTGTTTTCCACATAAATTCTAACAGCAAACAGGAATACTTTCATTTATAGGTATGATGCTCTTGTGGTCTCACCTTTTGTAGCTTTTCTTTATCACTTTTAAGCTGGCACGTCTATAAATGTGTATCAGAGTTAAGACACRGTTTAAGTTACTCTTTGTCTTTTGAATTAGAAAGCTTTTAACTGCAGAGGAGCAATCCTGTATCAATAAATTAACTGGATGGAAAATCGTGAAAGCAAGAATGAGTGATGATGTTTTAAACCTATTCCATTGCTGAAATAATCTGTGGAAAAAAAATACCTGAACTCTTTCTTGACTGATTTTTCATTTTCAGATTTCAAAATAATGTGATGGTTTCTTGACGAATTTCAGTTTGTGTGCTACTGAAATATTCTTTGCACTTTGGGAAAATGATTTTTTTAACCCCTAGCAGGGGAACATTCAGAAGACTCTTTTTGTCTAGTTTTTAGTGGGTATGAAAGGCAAAGATGAAGCTATGGCTATTGGAGGACACTGGTCCCCATCACTGGATGGACCTGATCCAGAAAAGGACCCTTCCGTGCTGATAAAGACGGCTATTCGTTGTTGCAAGGCTCTTACAGGGATTGACTTAAGTGTGTGCACGCAATGGTAAGTACTGTACTGCAAAGCCGAGTACACTGTAGAAATACTTGTCTGTTACCAAAAGTTAAAAAGAAAAGAAAAAGCTGGGAAAACCTTTTTTCTTTGTCAACTGCTCTTGGTAGTTCAGGTAAACTACTCAAAGGATGTTCTGTTCGGTAATAAGCTTGATGGGTGCCAACTGTGCTGAACACTGCATTAAGAACTAATTTAAAATTCTGGATTTATTTTTGACATACTGTAATTTTTTTAATGAACGTGCTTTGAAAATACTTTTCATTTTGTGTATAGCTGGAGAGGATCGTCAAGAGAACTTCATTTCATTGTTCTTTTGTTATAAATAAATAGCCRTTTGTTATACAGCCATATTTTCTCTTGATGGGTTTCTGTCCTGTGTTAACTCTCACTTTAGTTGTACTAATACCAGGAAAGTCTGTTGTATGCTAAATTTAWAGTTCTTCGACAACTTCTGTTTGCACATAAAACCTACGTGTGCTAAACAACAAGCTGAACTAAAAGCATTTTGTTGGCTTTCCTCCTTTTCAGTTGCAATACCTTTTTACAAGTGTGCCAAAAGAGAAAATATGGCTCCCATAATTTTTTTCTTTAGATAAACCTCAAGGTCTTGCAGCAAAATTTCTTTACTTGATGTGCTACAAGTGATCTAGGCTCTTTAAAATGTATTGTAGAATTTTTTTTCCAACATGCTTCTTCCCTTGCAACAGGTACCGTTTTGCAGAGATTCGCTACCATCGCCCTGAGGAGACCCACAAGGGGCGTACAGTTCCAGCTCATGTGGAGACAGTGGTTTTATTTTTCCCGGATGTTTGGCATTGCCTTCCCACCCGCTCAGAGTGGGAAACCCTCTCCCGAGGATACAAGCAGCAGCTGGTCGAGAAGCTTCAGGGTGAACGCAAGGAGGCTGATGGAGAACAGGCACTGAACGCTAATCCCTTTTTCTATTTCTGCTTCTCACAGGCACAGGAACACAGGCACAAAATGCACACCACATACTACACAACATACATACATAGGAGGAACATAACTGGTAACAATGACTGGTAAACCAGCTTTCAGCAGTGTAGTGAATGTTGCTTTTTATTTTTATTTCAGCTAGTTCACTAACTTTAAATGTGTATGCTGATATCMAAAATGGAATTAAATTGTGCTTATGATGCGCAGAAAGCTTTTTATCGTAGACGTAGTTGCTGGAATCTGGGACCAGTTGTTGAGTGAGATTCAGTTTATGAATAGCTGTCTTTGAACATTTTGCCATTTTCTGAAATTTCTAAATTCTCTCTTGTGGCCAGTTCTAATTGTGATACTTGAAATTGAACAAACACTAGTCTGAAACATCTGAATTTCAGGCCACGTGGCTGATCAACATCTTGGAATAAGGGAAGGTCTGACTGAACAAAGAGTAATTTGGGGGATTTAAAATCTGGGGGAAGATGACCCACTGTGTGGTTACTGGAGACCAGCAGTGTCTGTGTAACCCCAATATCCTTCGTGGTGTTGCTTATCACCCTTTTGTGTTCCACAGATCTGGCTTGTATTGGCTGAGTGGCACTGTGACCATTTATAAAGTGGTAGAATGTGTGTGTGAACTTGTCTAAATAATAACTTTAGGAGAAGACTATCTGAAACAGTTGTGACCTTGCACAGATCAGCAACAGAATTTAAAAATTACTGAAATGCTTTCAAGCTTTCTGAATGATAATTTCTACATTTTATTTGTCAGGATGAAGAGGAAAAGGATGATGGGGAAGCTAAAGAGATCTCTACGCCTACACACTGGTCTAAACTGGATCCAAAAACAATGAAGGTAACAAACACTTGTTAAAATTTGATTCCATCATATATTTTTGCTTTTAAGACATGAACTGAAATACAGCTGTGTGTTCCCTTAACGGAGGAAAAATCTTCAGTAGTGTTTTGCTGAATGTATAGGTATTATAGATATGATCTCACAGTTTGCAGGAATGACTCCTGTTTGTAGCAAATGAATACAGCTAATTGAACCTATTCTGAACTTTTAAATACTGTACAATTAAAGGATATCACATATGATACATTAACTGGAAAATGAGATTTCTGCAATAATCTGCCAGATTACTAATTGCATTAAAAAGATGGGGTCTAAAATACTCAAAATAATTGTACAAAAATATATGTCTGGAGGCATAATAAAAAGTTTCCTCAAATTAATAATAATGTTAAACTACTTTACTACAGTAAAATACTTTCCCTGCCTCTGAAAAGTTCCTCAGAAAGAAGTTTTTTTGGTGGAAGATATCACTTTAAATGTAATATGTTTTTTGTGTCACTATTAGTGTTTTTCAGCACATGTTTAAAAAACACAGTTGACTTTTCAGTGCTGTTAATTTTTACTTCACTTYCTCTGCTAATCAAACGTTTTGTTACATTTCTGCCTGGTACCACTCACAAAGTTTTTATTTACCAGGTAAATGACCTTCGCAAAGAGTTAGAAAGTCGAACCCTTAGCTCTAAAGGACTGAAATCTCAGCTGATAGCTCGACTGACAAAGCAGCTGAAAGTAGAGGAACAAAAAGAAGAGCAAAAGGAGCTAGAGAAGTCTGAGAAAGAAGAGGAAGAGGAGGAGGATAGGAAATCTGAAGATGATAAAGAGGTTAGAATTTGGACATAATTGACTCAAGTCTGAAGTATACTTAAATATATAAAATATTGAAAATTTGTGTAAGTACATGTAACCCTAAAAAGTAGAGGAATATGTCTGGTTGATTTGGGATTTTGTAGTTCTGGGATGACTGTACTGGGAACTCTTGCTGTAACTTGAGCTGCTGAATTGGAAATAAATCTTGGGCAGTTTGGATCTATTTATATCAGCCAAGATAGCTGAAATGTGCAACTGCACTAAGGGTGTCTGAATTCATGTTAGACCGTAAATGTAAGGAAAAATAAATCCCAGACTCCTGAGGAAAACCATGCTCAAGAAAGAGTAGACATACTTAACAAGACCTTAATTCCTTAAACCTACATGAAAACCAGCTGCTTACTTGTGTTGGCCTCTGTGTCTCACAGTCCAGCTTCTTCAGGATGGTTTGCTTGGGTTCATTTTCCCTTACAATGAAGCTTTAATTTTTGCTTTTGGATACTTGTGTATTGGAGTTTCTCAGTTTTGCTGTTGGTAGTTGCGGTGCTTCTGAGTCCTATTAGCTGTTTCACAAGGATGAAYAAGATCTGTGCAGTAAGGCCAAAGCTCAAGCACAGAAAAAAGGCAGAAATGTCTGGAGAATGGATTGTTTGTTGGTTGCATTTAAACGCACCTTTTAGTGTTACCTGCTAACTTGTATGGGGTAATTGGAAGTTTTATGTATCTCTTGTTGAGGGATAAAGGCCATGTGCTGCTTGCTAATTCTATCAGCTGCTGCTGCCTTCTCCCACATCTTGGATGGGCTTCAACTAGCTTGAGGTTTCTTGCCACAGTTTTCTTCAGGATTGGAGGGGAACTTTGATTGTGCTGGCTTTTTTATAAAGCAAAAGCTTTGCTGTGACTTTTGTAGTCAGGAGATTCAGTCTTTCTCTCTTTGCAGTGAGTAAGCTGGTGGCATTTTACCTTTTGTAACCCTTTGTTTCATTGATCAGGTGTATCTATAGAGATTTCATTTCTCATAATGAGGAGTTAAGTAAATTGTCATCTGCTAGCTGTTAAAGCTGTGTTGGATATCTTTGGAGAGATGATGTATGAAGCCTTTCTCTTCTTTTTTAAGGAATAGAAAGCTTGCTGTACAATGTACAGTTGTACATTGCTTTCAGCAGCTTAGGCTTTGCTTTCCCCAAAGCAGTCAGTCCTAAAAGCTAATGTAGAGGCTGAACCTCCAGCTTTGAAATATGCTCTATGTTAGTTTGTTGCCCTTTTTTAGGAAGAGGAAAGAAAACGCCAAGAGGAACTGGAACGKCAGCGGCGGGAGAGACGCTATATCCTGCCAGATGAGCCAGCCATCATTGTGCACCCAAACTGGGCAGCAAAGAGTGGCAAGTTTGACTGCAGCATCATGTCTCTAAGTGTTCTTCTGGACTACAGATTGGAAGATAATAAAGAACATTCCTTTGAGGTAACTCAGCTGTGCTACTTATAGTTAGCTGTTCTTGTTTCTTTCTAATTTTTGCGAGAAAATAKTTAAATTGTCAAGTCTTTGGTACATGGTTTACAGTAGGGAATACACAGGTTTTCAGATATGGAATGGAGTTTGTAAAGTTGTTTCAGGTTTTCATATTCAAAGCAGATAATAAGAAAYATGACACTCCATAAAATTCTGTTCTGGTGGAAGTTGCTAAGATGGTACCTSATAGCTGCTTTATCATAGTTATATACATTTTAATACATGTTTTAAAACTTTTTGTCATTTCTTTATATGCAGGTATCATTGTTTGCGGAACTCTTCAATGAAATGCTTCAGAGAGATTTTGGTGTCAGAATTTACAAAGCACTGATTTCTCTCCCAGAGAGAGAGGACAAAAAGGACAAAAAAAGCAAAAAAGATGAGAGGAAAGAAAAAAAAGAAGAAAAAGATGATGAAACAGATGATCCAAAACCTAAAAGAAGAAAATCTGGAGATGATAAAGATAAAAAAGAAGAGAAAGATGAAAAGAAGGTCTGSAGTTAGTTCATATGCAGTTCTATYCTGTCTGGATCAATATTAAA